GAAAGCACGAAACGCTACAATAGTTACACCAGTGTCCCCCGCTAGCATACACCAACCTATACACTAACGTTACTCAACCATCATGGCATCTATATAGTTACACCAGTGTCCCCCGCTAGCATACACCAACCTCTACACTAACGTTACTCAACCATCATGGCATCTATATAGTTACACCAGTGTCCCCCGCTAGCATACACCAACCTCTACACTAACGTTACTCAACCATCATGGCGTCTATATAGTTACACCAGTGTCCCCCGCTAGCATACACCAACCTCTACACTGACGTTACACAACCATCATGGCGTCTATAGCGGTAGAGTACCTGTCACTATGGAGTTGTCGGCACAGAGCACGGCTGAGCCGACGGGAAACTTGCTGTAGGGAGAGTAGGAAGCCTTCATTGCAGTGGATGCAGCGGCCACCAGCTGCTGCACCAGCTTCTCATCTGTAGTTAGAAGTTAAAAGTAAGAATAGTTTACGTCGTATTGACTGCAACCGTTATTTCAGAGCAACTTTATCTTCTCTATAGTCCTCGATGGCATTAGTGTTCCACGCATAGATATAGAATACATCTGTATTCTATATCTATGCTATTGTAATGGCCCTAGGGGTGGCGACTACGGTACGACAGACGTTGTTTCGCTAACTCGTGTCCCAGTTGTTGGGATTCAGTGTTCGCTCCTGCCGTTGTATTAGGCAGGACGGTGATGTCACGTAGCAGAACACAGGGAGCACCAGCTGAACAGAACACAGTGAGATTCGGTTAACTGTACGGTTATAGCTTTATTGTTTCCTACTAGTTATTTCCTACTGTTTCCCACAAATAATTCCTCTGCGTTCGTATATGCAGCAGATCCGATCACCACTAGATTAATATTGAAGAAGTAACACGTCGCCGGCTTCGTCTTCCTTTCTCACGTTCGTCCTCTCCTCGCGTAGACCTAGGCAGTCTCCAAGGGGTCTCCCTCGTAGTCGCTCCTGGCTCTACCTATCCGGAATCCTGTTCTCCTCCGTCCTCGCGTAATTCCCCTCTCCCGTTCGTCTCCGGTTTGCACCTACCTGAAAATCTGTGTCTCTATATCCTCTCGCTCTGCAACGCTTCCGCTCCCTCTCTCTTCTTCTTCTTCCTTCTCCTTCTCCTTCTTGCTACCTAGCCCTGCAAAATAACGCTCTCTTCCTCTTTCTCTTCGTCCTCGCCTGCTTCTTCTCCTTCTTCTTCTTCTTCTTCCTAAACCGAACCTGAAAAATAACACTGTTCCTCTTTCTCTTCTTCTTCTGTTTCTTTTCCTCTTCTTCTTCTTCTTCTTCTTCCTACCTAGCCTGAAAAAGAACGCTCACGCTGCTCGGTTCGGTGCGCCTTATATATACCTAT